TGCCTCCGCCTCCCAAGTAGCTGGGACTACAGGTGCCCGCCACAACGCCTGGCTATTTTTTGGTTGCAGCTGTTATTGTTGTTTGGTGGGCCCGGGCTGGATTCAAACCCTCCAGCTCAGGTGTATGTGGCTGGCGCCTTAGCTACTAGAGCCACAGGCGCCGAACCTGGGGGTGCACTTTTAAAGTTTTTTTTTTAAACAGGAGATTGGAGGCAGGGAAGCGGCATTTACAGTGGACTCTGGTGGATGCCACAGTTAAAGGGTGGAATTGGGTGTGGAGAGGTGCACGGACTGATTATTTTTCTTACTACAACCAATTTAAAGTTGGCAATGAAGTTTTTCAGTTCATTGTTGAACATGGGCTCATGGGGATGGAGAAGTTCAGATGTGAGCTGGACACGTCACACCTGGACCCCTTGCTTCACTAAGGTCAGGGCAGTGGATATGGCTCTGCACCTCCCCACCTTCTTTAGTTGAGGTCCTCCCACCAATCCTGCAATTCACATTAATCCTGCAATCTAGTTACTCTTCCACCCGTGAAGGTGAAACACAGCCTCATAGGTGGGCCAGGCCCCAGGTACTGGGGCAGGAAACTGAGTCACAAGATGTAGTTTTCTGTTCTCTGCCTAGCAGATCTGAAATTGTCAGGAAGAATGCCACCACCTTTTATTTGTGTAGCACTTTTGTTTTTACAAGGCTCTATCATATCTGTTGTCTCTTGTCATCTTCAGAGGATTATTATTAACTCCAGTCAGTGAGAGGTCAAAAACCTAAACTAAAAGATTATTCCAAAATGTGAAATGAAAGAAAACGGAGTCCAGGTTCTGTGTGGACAACAGCAGCCTTTATTTCCACGGGGGCAGGTGAGCTGCATTTGAGAAGGAAGTCAGTATGTGGTTTAAGGTGGGTGGGAATTTTAAAGAGTTGGAAGGGATAGAGATTGGTATATTACTCTTTACTGCGTGAGACTGGTGTGCTCATTTCTTCCTGGGTGGGTGGGTTCTATTTGGGCGGGTCCCTCCATTTGAATCTATCAGTCAGCAAGTGAGAAGACTGAGCTGAGGGGTCAGGTGGGGCGGGTGGTGGTCATTGCTGCGCTCAGGTCAGACTTAGGGAGCTTGGGGCAAAACCATGTGCTCCTTCTTGATCAGAGCCGGCTCGTTAGGCTTGTCTCATGATATACTCCGGCCATCTCTTCTTCTTCATCTTTTCCTTATAAGCGTTTTAATTAGATGAAACTGTTTATAAACTATATCTAAGATAATAAGAACAATAGCACAAACTCACCTAGTTTAAGAAATTAAGGAATGAACATTACCTTTACCGTCTGAGCCCTAACTTGCCTTCTCCATCTTGTTTTCTTCCCTCTCAGTGGAACTAGTATCTGGTAATTGTGTTTATCATTTCTTTTTTTTTTTTAAATAATGTTCACTACATATATTTTAATCTCTTTAAACAATTTGTGGGTTCACATGATTGTGAGCTTTGTATGAATGCAACAAAACCATATGTATTTTTGCAGTTTTGTGCGGGGGCTGGGTGTGAACCTGCCACCCCTGATGTATGGGGTGGGTGCCCTACTCCTTGAGCTACAGGCATCACCCACCATATGCATTCTTATGTTATTGGCTTTGTTTCACTCAATATGTTTTTGAGATTCATCTAAGTAGCTGTAATTCACCACTATATATTATAATAGTTCCTCATATGATTAGAACATAATTTATTTATCTTGCCTATTTCTGATTCTTCTGTTTTCTCCCATTACAAATAGGGCTTCTGTGACCCTTCTGGCACTTATGTCTAGGGTGGCCTCAGATGTGCTAGGTCTGTCCCCACCCACGAGTGGCACCTTCGGTTCTACTAAAACTGTTTTTCTAGGTTATTGTACTAATTCTCTCACCGGCAGTGCAAGTTCCAGTTACTCCACATCCTTATTTTTTGTTGGGTAAAAATTCTGCCAGTCTAGTGGTATGAAATATTAACTGATTTTTAAAATTCATATTTCTCTGAGCACTGATGATGCTGAGCATCTTTTCATGTTTATTGGTTATAAGTTTCTCTTTCTGTGAAGTGTCTGTTCAAGAGTTTGGCTCTTGTCCTTATATGTGTTGCAAATATCTTCTAGTTCCTGGCTGATTTTTTTTTTACTTACATATGGGTGGAAGATTAAGGTCTTAATTTAAATGTAATGAAAATTAACCTTCTTTCGTGGTTTGTACTATGTTTGCCTATTATTTAGGAACTATTTCCCTATCCTGATGTAATAGATGTATTTTCCTATAGTATTCTAAACATTTTTATATGTTTGCTTTTACATGTTTTAATCTTTGTACATAGCATGATGTAGGAGTCAGATTGTTTTCCACGTAGGTAAACAACTGCTAGAAAAATGTACTGAGAAGCCCCTCTTTTCTCTATCAATCTATTACAGTTGTGTAATAAATGTATGTCTGGGTGGTAGAGGAAAGAGGAAAAAGCAGTTTTTCCTCTTTACTCGTTTTTTTGGGGGGGGACAGAGTCTCACTATGTCGCCCTCAGTAGAGTGCCGTGGCGTCACAACTCATAGCAACCTCAAACTCTTGAGCTTAAGTGATTCTCTTGCCTCAGTCTCCCAAGTAGCTGGGACCACACGCCTGGCTATTTTTGTTTTTGTTGCAGTTGTTTAGCAGGCCCCAGCCTGTTTGGAACCTGCCAACCCGGGCCAAATGTGCTACGGGTGCCCAGCCACTCTCTACTCTGTTTTGTTTTGTTTTAGTTTGAGACAGGGTCTCATTCTGTTGTTCCAGGCTAAAGCCCAGTGGTGTCAGCCTCATTCACAGCAACTTCAAACTCCTGGGTTCAAGCAATCCTCCAGCCTTAGCCTCTTGAGTAGCTAAGACTATAGTCACCCACCAAAACGCCTGGCTAGTTTTTCTGTTTTTAGCAGAGATGGGTCTTCACTCTTGCTCAGGTTGGTCTCAACTCCTGAGCTCAAATGATCCTCCCATCACAGCTTCTCAGCGTGCTGAGTTTACAGGTGTGGCCTTCCTCTCTACTCTCTATTCCATTCAACACACTCTAATACCAGCAT